CCCCCCCCCCCCCCCCCCGCCGCCCCGCGCTGCCCTGCGTAGGGGTAGGAGGCTCAGATTGCCCCTCCCTAGTCCTGGGGACCCTCCAAACCTCCAGCCCCCAGCCCCGGGGCAGCTCCCTACCCCAGTCGTGGAAAGCACAAAGCCCTTCAAGGTGGATCCCACCCTTTGTTCCCAGCTAATTCTAATTCCAGAACTCCTTGTGCCCCTACCCTATGTCCTGGTGCCCCTGGGATAGCCAGCCACTCCCGGGTGGGGCACCCCCCTCACCCACGGGCCCGCTCCTCAGGCCGTGGCCACCCGAGATCGGGTGGGCCGCGCAGCCCCAGCCTCTGTGGGCACAGGGTCCAATTCCCAGGCCTCCCCGGACAATGAGAGCCTTCCGCTCACACCCCCTTCCTGCCCTCCCTCTGGCTCTCTCCTCCTCCTCTCCCCCTCCTCCTCAGCTCCTCCGGCAACTCCAGCCTCACTGGGCTCTGAAAGGCAGCCCCCCCTGCCTTGGGCCCAGGAAACCTGTGCTTGTCACTTCGAAGCGGCCTTGGTGAGAGGCCCCCACCCACTCCCTCACGTGCTCGGGAGCCAGCCTCACGGGGGTACAGGGGCCTGGCAGGAGCCACGGAGGCTTAGACCGGGCTTGCAGGGGGGAAGGTCTCCTGGCCCTCGGCACCCCACTCACCCCCAGTGGCTCCCGCCCGCCCGGGGAGGAGAGGGGGGCAAGATATACCTTCCCCAAGCCCCAAGAACCTCCCGCCCCCGCTGCCACCCCGAGGGCTGCAACTCCCTCCGCTTGTGTCCTGTTCAGATGGTCAGCACCAGCCCCAGGAACGCTGTGGCTGTCCTTGGCAGATCGGAAGCTCCCACGCGCTGCTTGGGGCAGCACCACAGGAGCCAGAGTTCCGGCCTCCAGCTCCCACTCGGGGCGACTCCCGCCGATTCATCCTGGCCGGAGGCGAGGACCAGTCCATGAACTTCGCACCCCATAGATGCCCAGCTCGCCTTGGCAGTGCAGGTGCCAGCGGATGCACACCCATCTCTCTGGCCTCCCCGGGACAGGAGGCAGCCAAGCCGAGTCTGCAGGGGCAGAGGGAGGTCAGCCCAGACAGTGGGCCTGGCGCGGGTCACGGGGGCAGGTCAGCTCAGGGGGCACGCTGCTCTGCAGTGCTGGGAGCCCACATGCCAGCTCTTGCCCAATTTTGTGCACCTCGGAGAGGAATCTGACTCCAGCACAGACAAAAGCCCAGGGAAGATCAGATGGGGAGGGACAGGGGAGATTTGTCCAGCGTGGCTGCTGGGGCTGAGAGGAGGAGGCCACTGGGGCCCGGGGCGGGGGAGGGGGGGCGTGGTTACCTGCTTGGGGGAGACTGGAGTGGCGGGGGGGGGGGGGGGGGGGGGGGGG